AATATAAATTTTAATGTTGGTATTCAGATTCAGTACTACATTGTTTTTCTTGTGTTCGTCTACCATATAACATAAGTTTTGTAATAAGTTATTTAATACTATATAATAGAGAGTAAATTAAATGAAGGCTGTAACTAGGCTACACTGCACAGGAAGCAAAAGGAATATTAATAATTCAGTTAAAAATCCTTAACATTTCTATTGAATATTTACCGTGAATTCATTAGTTAACTGAAACTTTCATTCAGTTATTTAATTATTTAGAGTAACAAAGATACGTTATGAACACTTATGTAGTATTAGTGGCTATAATTCAGATAAACAGGTAAATATTTTTTAATTCAGTTGGTCTCATTAAGTAAAGTGTCTGATGTAGAAGATAATGTTACACCTTTATTGTCTGAACTCCTTGCAGTGCTGGCATTAGCGGCAATTTGGTATTGACAAAAAAATGTTGTTTTGGCATTTCTCAGAATAAAGGGTGAGTGGGTCCTTTTAGAATGCCTATGTTGATTTCCTCCCGTCTCAGCTCAAAGTAGTAGTTAATAAGCATTCTCTGCTTAATATTTACATTGCAGAATTCCTGAAACTAGAATTTTAATTTGTATTATTTCCTCCTCTGCAACCTTTTGTGAGAGATCTTGGAAGGCATGACAGAATGTGAAAGTAAACAACATTAATAGTGACATCAGCATAGCTGATGTCAGCTGAAAGCTTGCTAAGCACATTTACAATTTTAGAGTTTAAAAATGTAATTGTTTCTTGTCTCTCTTAGCTACATGATGGTGATTATAGCCCTGTGTTAGATGCAACCTTTGTCATGGTGGCCCGGGACCCAGAGAATAAACGGTAATTTGTAGGACAGGAAAATAGTTTTCAGACTCCTTCTGTGGTGAAAATAGCAAACATGGCAGCTTGCTATATGTGTGTAGAAGCCATATAGTGTAAGTGATAGATAAATCACATAGTTGATATTTTCTGCTGGCAAGTGTTACTTCCCTGGCGCAAGCTTCAGAGCATTGATTTCAGCAGTCAGATTATGCTGGGAATTGCTGTTAGTCTTGGGATCTGACCCTTTAACAGATTTTCCCTGTGTTTGATGACTGGCCTGATGAACACAGAAGCGAATGAATCTGCTAGAAACCCACCTGCATGGTAGTAGTTGTTAGAATTAATTGCCTTCTTGCCAATGGTTAAATAGTCTTTGAGTGAATAATGCCATTAATTCCCTAATAGACACGATAGGTGTCACCAGAATAACTCAGCCTAAAACCTGCTTGTGTAAGTAACATGGAACTGATAAGTGTTCCCCCAGAACTTAAAAAACCCCAAAACAACTTTCTTATTTTTCTGGTTTTATTCTCTATTATTGCTTAGTCATTAAACTAACAGGCTGTTCAGTTTCAGTTTTGGTTTATGACTCCAGCACCAGAAAAATTGGTTGTATTTCTTACCTCTTTCTTCTATAGTCTGCAAAAGTAAAAAACAATCTTCTGTTTCTAACTAGTTTAAATAATTTCCCATATTTAATGAAGAGGGATATCTTTAATGAAGGAGGTTGGCTTGACATAATTATTTAGTCCTGATAACGTTAGAAGTAGTTATTAGGTTGGTTTCCTATAGATTTATGAGATTTTTTTTTAGAACTCATTAACATATTTAAAAATTTATAGAAAAGAAAAGATTTAAAAAAAACCCAGCAACTTATATTTATGGTTCCCATTTTAAGGACTTATTTTGCAAAAGAATTACATAAAATCTGAAATACACTAACAGATTGACTGAGGACAAGCCTACATGGACTATGTGCAGATAGATACAAACTTCAGTGACTGTTCTTCAAGCCAGCTGGCCACAAGCCAGCTGTGTTTTGGAAGCATTCTGTCCATATAAGGCAGATACTTATTCTGTGTGAGGTAAAAACCTTCCAGAGAGGTACAAGGTGTGTTAGGTTGGTCATAGTGCCACAGAAGCATGATTGTGTGGCTTTTGGACCATAGCAAACTTTCATCTCAGTAGCTGGGAGTTGGACGGGAGAGCTGATGTAGATGTGTCCTGAGCTGAGGAGAGGGAGAATGTGCAATGTGATGGAGAAGGAGCTGGTGTGTCTCCAAAATCCACATATTAGCAAACAAGGAAAGAGCAGTTTGTCCCAAGTGAAAAGGTCCTCTCTGCATGCCTCTTGTCTCTAGTCCACGTAAAGGCTTGGCGTAGAGGCGAACTGTTCAGCAAAAATAATAATTGGAAAAATAGTAATTGGAAATTATGGGGAAGAATGGCTCTTGAAAATAAGCATTTCCCTTGCCTTTGAAAAGAAATAATTAAACGTTATATAATTAGGTTAGAGTAAACTTATTTGTGCAGTAAAATAAACATACACATTTGTACTCAAGGCAACCTCATACCATCTTCTTTGATAAGTAGTACGTGTGGTAAACAGCTTTTGGCTGTTGATAAGGCTGTCATGGGAACGTGTAGATTACAAGAACACTTGCTAGCTATGGCACTGTGCTCTCTCTCTGTTCCAGGAGGAATTTCAGTTTAAGTTTTGTGTATCTCTTTTAGACTATCCTAGAACATGACATCTTCATTTGCTGAGTTTCTAAACAGCTTTCTGCTTTAATATTCTTCATTATAATCTATGGGTACAGTTTTAGCTCTTTAAGAAGCATAGATGCATTGTTTACTCTTTCTCAATTATACTAGATAGTGGTTGGATCACTTAACTGCTTCTTCAGAGTTAGAGCTAATACGATGTTCCCTTGGCAGCTGCCATATAACCTGAAGCATACGTCTTTCCATCTTGTAACGTGTATGTAAGCAAACATGGAAGACTGCTATAATGTATTCACAGGACAAATTCTTACAATGTTTGTAACTTAAAAAAAAATTCCTGTCCGTAGGCCAGCATTTGTTAATCCACTCGTTCCTGAGACCCCTGAGGAAGAAGAAATCTTCAAGCAAGGGGAATGTATGTCCTACTTCCTGGTAGTATGCACATCTGCCTCGGGTTCAACTTAATAGCTGGAACTAAGTAGACTTCAGAAGTTGTGCTTAGAAATGCTCCTGGTTTGTTTAAAATCAGATTTTCATTCTGTCTCGTGTGTGTCAGTAGTGTAAGAGAGTTTAAAAGCCTGCTATCACATTCTTGTCTGTCCGTATAGCCAAAGTGTTTCCAAGGGCACTCCTGATGTGCTCTGCATTGCCCTTAGACTTCTCTGTTTCCAGGATGCTCTCTCCACTTCAGACCCGAGTGCAGCACAGGCTTTCCTAATGCCCTGGCTGATTGATTGCCCCCATGGTGGGTCTGCTGGGTGCATCGCAGCTCCTTACCTGTCTGGGTGCCCATGCTCCTTTTGGAAAGAAACTTAGAAAAAGAAAGGGGGAGAGCAAGGAGAAGAGTGTGTAGCTCCGTCTTCTTTTGTTTCAAGCTGGAATTTTAAAGCAGAGAGTTAGAGAAACATTAAGGACTGTCCAGTTTATTCATATAACATAAAATGAACAGAAGATCTTTTAAGCTAAAATTTTGATCATTATGGCCTATGGTAGTAAGTTCTAACATAAATTTGCATTCTTGTACCATTGCCAAAACCTGAAGAAGATTGTTCTGTAGGGTTTCTTGTTTGATACATTTTTCTGTACTGTGAGGGGAGTACTTAAGTTTTCTGTAGGAGCAGTGAGTGAGTATCATAGTATATGTGCAAAAGGTCTTCATCACACTGGTGAGGTAACAGTGAACTTCTGCCTTATTTTTTCTGTGATGCAGTTAATTCTAAAAGCCAAATTTCTGTTTAAGTCTATGGGACTGTGAAGTTACAGCTTTTAACTTACAGGGGGGAAAAAGAAAAAAGGAGAGACAGCTGATTTCAGGCTAAAATCCTCAGAGCCAAGCCAAGTTTTGTTTTCTTTGAACTCTAATATAGGGGTTTTTTTTTTATGTTTAGTGAATAAACTGAAGAGAATTGACTTCAGCACTGCTTCCTTACTGAAAATGGCTCCCACTGCAGAAGAAAGAAACATTGTTCATGACATATTCCTTAATACATTGGACACAAGGCAAGAAGGGGAGGGGTGGAGAAGTGAAGTGTTATGAAAGTGAAAAGTAATGTGCCTTTTGAGCAGATGCTCATAAGAGGGTAGCCTGGAATAAACACACACATTTTATTTTCCCATTTCACCATTTAAATTCCATGGCATTTTATTTGAAACACGGGTACAAAGTTTAATGTGACATCTGCATCTCTTAAAAGAGTCTTCTGTCGTTAAAGAGTGTTAGCTGTGCCAAGATGGTGAAAGTGACAGTGTAAGCATAGAGAGCTTCTGAGCAAGCTGTTAGGAATAATCTTAAAGAAAAAGGTTAATGATGTTTAACCAATAAGGGAATGGAATGGTTTTGCAGCCATGTGACTTGCACAATCTAAGAGTTTTCTGCTATGATATCTAGAAAGAAAACTGTGAGGGCAGGAATTGGCCATATTTTGATCAGGTAACCTTGCAATGTGTTTTAAATATAATACCTGACAACTTTATTTGAGAGAGACTGTTGTTGGCATACTTCTCTTATACTTGAGATTTGCGTGAAATCGCCCAGTGCTAATGGTGATGGAACAATGCCCAATGACATCAGTGCAATGTTGTATTTGTGAGTAATGTATAATTTCTTTAACTGACTGACTTTATACAATTGTTATTTTCAGAGCTGTTTACCAAAGTGAGACACGCGTTCCCTTAAAATGAGCAGATGTATTTTGTATACATTCTGTCTGGATTTGAAAACCTCAAGCCATCTGCATGCTTGATGTTGAATTACTCTGTTATCTCATTGCGTGTTTTGAATTCATACTATGACCTAAAAAACAGAGTAAGGCTTTTGTGACAAAGTGTGTGCTTTGTGGTTGTGATTCAACTTTTCCTTCACGTACCTTTCTCAAGCTTGTTCATTCACGTAAGCTTGAACATTAGCAGACGTTTTTGAAAGGTCAGGAATGTAGGCTTATTGCAGTAACAAATCAAAGTATCACTTTGCATGAGACTTCAAGGTTATTTGGAACAGCTTTTAGTGATAGCATTTCTGGTTTTTTTTTTTTTTTTTTTTTTTTTAATGTGTGTCTGCATTTGCTATTTGGGCATTTTTGACTTGCTGAATTCTGCTAATGTGGGCTATAAATTTTATTGTCTGTTCCAAAGGACAGTAAGTTTCCGGAGTCGTAAATTACCACCCAATTCAGTGTGGATGGAAGATGCAAAACTAAAAGGCCTACAGATTTGCCATCCTCAGGTATTTTGAAAAACATTAATGAATTACAGAAACAGTTACTTAAGAATTGTCTTGTAAGACTAGTCAATCCATTATTTTGTTTCAGTTCTTCAGTCCTTGCAATGTATTTAGATCTGAGCTTCTTTTGCCATTTTTCTATTATCTGTATTGATTGCCATTGCAAAACAGAATATTTTAAATTGCTTTGTTTTCTTACCAGCCTACTCATTTTTTGTAAAGAAATTCCTCTGCAAAGTGTTTGAGCTGAACTTCCACTTGCTGACACAATTTTGAGTTTTTATCTTGTCAAATGAGTCGGATGAGCTCCTATTAAGTAAAGTTGCCTCAGCCATTTTGACTTTTGCATATGTATTTCAGTAGTGCTTTTTATACGTTCAGATGCTGGAAGTTCTGTTAAATATTGTGAACTGAAATGCAAACTTCAACACAATACTTTGAAACTTTGAAATACTTTGATACTTTGAAATACTCGCTGGGTAAAGAACTGGCTGGATGGCCGAGCCCAGAGAGTTGTGGAGTTAAATCTGGCTGGTGGCCGGTCACAAGCGGTGTTCCCCAGGGCTCAGTTCTGGGGCCGGTCTTGTTTAATATCTTTATCGATGACCTGGATGAGAGGATCGAGTGCTCCCTCAGTAAGTTTGCAGATGACACCAAGTTGGGTGGGAGTGTTGATCTGCTGGAGGGTAGGAGGGCTCTGCAGAGGGATCTGGACAGGCTGGATCGATGGGCAGAGGTCAACTGTATGAGGTTTAATAAGGCCAAGTGCCGGGTCCTGCACTTGGGTCACAACAACTCCATGCAACGCTACAGGCTTGGGGAGGAGTGGCTGGAGAGCTGCCCGGCGGAAAAGGACCTGGGGGTGCTGGTTGACAGCCGGCTGAACATGAGCCAGCAGTGTGCCCAGGTGGCCAAGAAGGCCAACAGCATCCTTGCCTGTATCAGAAATAGTGTGGGCAGCAGGAGTGGGGAAGTGATTGTGCCCCTGTAGTTGGCACTATCGAGGATATACTCGAATCCTGTGTTCAGTTTTGGGCCCCTCAGTACAAGAAGGATGTTGAGGTGCTGGACTGTGTCCAGAGAAGGGCAACGAAGCTGGTGAGGGGTCTGGAGCACAAGTCTTCTGAGGAGTGGCTGAGGGAACTGGGTTGTTCAGTCTGGAGAAGAGGAGGCTGAGGGGAGACCTCATCGCTCTCTACAGCTACCTGAAAGGGGGTTGTGGTGAGGTGGGTGTTGGTCTCTTCTCCCAAGTAACAAGCGATAGGATGAGAGGAAATGGCCTCAAGTTGTGCCAGGGGAGGTTTAGACTAGATATTAGGAAAAATTTCTTTATGGAGAGAATGGTCAAACGTTGGAACAGGCTGCCCAGGGAGGTGGTGGAGTCACCATCACCGGAAGTGTTCAAAAAAGGTGCAGACGTGGCACTTCAGGACATGGTTTAGTGGGCATAGTGGTGTTGGGTTGATGGTTGGACTTGCTGATGTTAAAGGTCTTTTCCAACCTTAATGATTCTGTGAAAAGAATATATGTAATATAGCAGTTTGATTTTTGTTTCTACATACAGGAACGGAACATCTTCAATAGGATCTTTGGGGGTTTTCTCATGAGAAAGGCATTTGAACTGGGATGGGCAACTGCTTGCAGCTATGGGTGAGTTGTAGACCTGCATTATTTGTATAATCCAGAGCACTGTGCACATAGACATGGGTTGGGAAGCCAAGCTAACCAACCTAATGACAATCTGAGTAGAAAAGACCTAGGTGTCTTGTAGAATATCACACTATTAGTGCACAGCTCTATTTTATTTAGAGCATTTGTTGTCTTTACGGAGAGATTTGCATCTTGCTCCTTGGAGATTGTTTTTTAAGCGCTACATGTCAAAATAGAAAATACATTCTTTTTTGTTTTCTTTTATCTTATCAAGCTATTGAGATTGACTTTTGAAGTTAAGCTTTCTTTCTAACCATATAAAACAGGCATTCTATCAAATAAATATTACATCTTTTCTTTCCGTACACAAGAGGAATGTTTTCTGAACTACTTCTAGTAACTGCTTGTTCTTAGTAAGTGTGACTGAGGTCATCACCCAGCAAAGACCTGTGCAGGGTCTGTGGAGTTCAGTGGAGCATGCATAGCCTGATAGTGGTTTTATGTCAGTGCTTGGAAAACCAAGGCCTAGGCAATGGTGGCATGAAGATTGCCTAGCAAGTGTAAGTCATAAGATACAGTAATGATGCAATAATGTATCCTTAGAGAGTGTGCATTTTTATGTGTGGGAGAGCTTTCCTCCAGTTATTTTTGTCTTGGCTGATAACATAATTCTTTAGCACTTCCTGTGGCCTGTGTTTGAGAGAGAGATCTGTTATCTTGTAACCATTAAAATGCTGACAATGAAGTATTTTAAATTTCTCCAAACACCCTCGTTATTTTTGAGAAGAAATTTCTCTCTTTATTACTCAGGGGTTCCCGACCTTTTATTGTATCCGTTGATGATATCATGTTTCAGAGGCCGGTTGAGGTTGGATCCTTATTACTGCTTTCTGGACAGGTAGGAGTTGATTTCTTTTTGAAAAGGAGAAAAACTTATCTTTGCTATAATCACTATTAATCACTGATAATGAACTGTATATTAAGGGACTGCGTGACTTTTCTTGTTAAACAGTGCAATGAAGTCTATTACAGTTTTTCAGTGCCAGTGATAAATTACATACTGTAACTCTTATCTTAACTGTGTAGGTCTGTTACACAGAAAAAAACTACATCCAGGTTCGAGTACACAGTGAGGTTTATGATGCAGATACCAGGGAGCACCAGACAACCAATATCTTCCATTTTACATTTATATCAGAAAATGAGGTCCCACGGGTTGTCCCCAAAACTTATGGAGGCAAGTACCCAATTCATGCATTGTCATCATAACTCTGTAGACAAGACAGCTTTCTTTCTGTTGGAACATTGGTCATTTTAGTAGGTGAATTATTGGCATTTGAAGAATTTAATAGGATTTCATGCCAAAACACATTTATTTTATGCTTTGATGACAGTGTGGATTGCTTCATAATAGTACCATTCTGTGTACTTCTTAATCTTACCGTTCTGTGTAGTTGCCCAGTGTTGATACTAAGTTACTGATGTAGTTCTCTCTTTCTCCACCTTATTTCAGAGTCCATGTTGTATTTAGATGGGAAGCGACACTTCGCTGCAATCATGAAAGAAATCTGAGAGGCACTGAATGCTTCATCAGCAGTGTAGCAGCCTGCTATCTTGGAAGGAGTTGTCACCAGAGATGACTAACAGACAGGTGCTTGCAACACTAAAAAAAACCCACCCCAAAACAAAAGCCCAAACCAAATCCAAACCCCGCAACCCCCCCCCCTTTTTAGTGCTATATGTATTTGCATAGATTTGGATTTTTTACTCTCTGCTACTAGGATTTGTTGAAATCTACTTTTACATGCTGATGCTAGGAAAAAAGTCTGAAAAAATACAATCATCTTAAGTGTTAGATAGCTTCTCTTTGTCTGCTTTGAGAGATCTTACTACAGCCTTTGCTGTCTTGTCACCATCTGCCTTCTTTCCCTTAGTAGCTCTCCTTTGGGCTTCCCTGATAAAGGATAGAAGTTCTATCAGAAAATTGTGTGCAAGAAGTAGATACACACAGATGAAGGCATTTGACCTACATTCTTGTGTAAATTAGGTTTAGGGTCTTTTTTTTTTTTTTTTTTTTAAACAAGGACACATACATCTGGGCAGCAGCATAAGCTCAGAAATTACTAGTGTGTGCACAATGTAAAGCAGGTGTTTCCCATCAGCTGGGATTTTACAAGGTTGTTGCAGCTTCTGTTTTGGATGGTTTCATATTCCCTTGGGAGGAGACTGATTTTTGCAATGAAATGAGGTGCCAGATATTTTTTTCTGGCATTCTGTTTGTGTACAGCCAGTCCTTGCCAGCCTCTTCTAACTTTTGGGGTTCTTTTAAACATAACTGAGAGTTCCTTAATGAATTATTTCACATGGCCTGTAGAGTAGAGATCTGACTGGTGAGATTGGGTGGGACTGGGAAATGGCATTGTAGAGCAGAGTGTTTTGGTTTGTTAGGGACTGGGAGTAGGAAAGGTAAAATGCTGCTCAAATGGTAGTGCTTATGTTTAATACTGGAGTTAGGGGTCCAGAGAATCTGTGTTGGGCAGCTCCCAGGTCAGCTGCTGAATGGAGGGAAGATTTTTATCCCACTGAGGGGTGGTACACTTAGAGGACAGCCTCCTCAGCTGGTTTATTTGTCTGGTTCCTTGGTAGACTGTAATGAAATAGAGTATCGCACAGCTTTGAAGGTTGTCAAGTTTACTTGTGAAAGACAGAGTAATTCCCCACCACAGAGGGGGCACCGTGGTGGACGTAACCATAGCGTGTAAGTAACAGGGAGAAAGTACTTGATACTGAAGCACTTCTGATGTAGTGGAGAAAGTTTTAATAATCTCCAATATCTGGCAGATAAAGCCCAACTTCCTGACATTAGGAAGGTGAGTGGATTGGGAGGCATCAACTTTTAGCAGTGAGGATGATTAGTCACAAGCACAAAATCTGACCTCTGATACGTTCACGTCAGGACTTTAACCGGTCTGATCAAGACACCCAAAGAGGAGTCGTTGGGCTCAATGGTAGGTTAAATGGGTGAAATATGATGTCTTATAATACATGAGAGTAGACTCTGGTTTCCCTGCTTTAAAATATTTAAAATACTAAAATATTTTGAAATCAGGAAGCAGCAAGTAGAAATGATGTGAATCAGCACAGATGCATGAAACAGGTTGATAAAATAAAGCAACATGTTGAAATTGTATTTCTGAGTAAGAAAGTGTGAGAAATTCACAATTAGGACCAGCTTCCTTTGGTGCTAGGATAGTGTGAAGTTCATGGCTCCCAACAGCTGATTGCTATTCATGTGAGGAGAGTGAACATTGTAATAACCAGCATGTTACACATCAGCCTTTACTTTCTAAGATTTGGCTGCCTGTATTTCTAAGCTAGAGAGCTTTCCAGTGGAGGCACAGGGCTGTTGCCCGATCCGGATCAGATTAATGTGTTGCAGTGACAGTAAGCTCTTGACTCCTTACATAGAGTTTCTCCCTTCAGCCACACTCCAGTGCTGATTCAGCTGTATGATGTTACAATCTTTTTCTTTAATGGTTATGCCACTGTGGATATATATATTGTATTTTCTGTTTTTCTCCTTTTTAAAACTCTTTGGAAGATGAATATACTTGACTGATCACACAAATAAAGAACTGAAATTCTATCCCAGCTTCTTCCCCCCTCGCTGCATGGATCACTGTTGGCTGTTAAAGAATAAGTAGGAAGGCAGGAAGCGGAGGGATCTATTTCAGAACTATGTATTACTCCTGACTGTCTGCAGGTTTTTATCATTGACCCAATGGTCCTGCCTGGCTCACTTTTGTATAACGCTTGTAAGTTAAGCGGACACCAAGTTCTTCCTCTACTGCCTTTTCAGCTGTATTTAAAGATGAATTTATCATAATTTCTAAATTTAGCCTTTGGGAAGGGATTGGAGAGGAGAAAAATAGGTAATAGAGTAGGGAGCAAGGCGTGACATCAGAACCTCTGGACACAGTGAAGAAAATGAATCCTGCAAATGAAGGTGGTTAGAAGAATGAGTGTGTTTTCAAAGTTCATGATAACTCAATCATGTACTACGATCACAGTAGTTACAGATATGCATGTACAGTCATACAGAATGTGTGTATACATATATATGTGTAAAAGATATAAAATATATATAGTAATAAATAGAAAGACATAGAGTATGCACTCACATATTTTTTATTCCGAGAAGGTAACTCCAGGTTGTCAGCCTCTCTGATAATAGGCTAACTATATCTTTGTTCAAAGATACTATTTATGCATGTCGCTGTATACCTTTGTGTGTGAGATAAAATTGTTCTCATATCTCATACTCAGAATTAAAATATTTTAACATAGTAATTAATGTTGAATTTATATTGCGGCTTAATGCCCAACCCGTCACTGCTGTAAGTGACTAACCATTACAACACAAGCCTAAAGGTGCCGATAGGAAATCTTTTCAGTTGTAGTGAACCTATCTGATTAATTGGCTGTGGCTCTGTAGTGGGAAGTAAATGTTTTTTTACCCATCATGTCTTGGAATACCATGAGGAGGAGGAAGTCTGTGGTAGCTGGATTGCCTCCCCTAATCCTCTCACTTAATGGTGATGTAAAAGGAGATTTCTGTGGGATTGGCTGAGCTGAGTGCCCAAAAAAGTGCTTTGTTTTAAATGTCTTTTATTTTTCTGTGTTTAAAAAAAAAATCTAAAAAAAAAATCTATATTAAAATTACTTGCTGTAACACCTTCTAGTAGCCCTTCTTCAAATACATACGATTCCTTTGCAGCCATGTCGTGGTGTACAGCATTCTAGGAAGAAGCCTGCTGGAGCTGGTGCAGCATGGGCCGCTGCGCGAGGGTTTTAGTTCAGAAACCTGCTCTCAACTTCACTGCGTGCTCAATTGGTTTTACTGCATGTTCAATCCAGCCTTTGTCTGGTGACAGACTTGTTTGATTGCTGCTCCTCCTCTGAATGCATTTTTAACGAGGTGTGGGAGAGATTACTTCTTCACGGGCTAGGCACTAGCTAACAGGAGAATAAAAGGGTAAATATGCAGCTTTCACGAAAGAGAAACTGGGGGCTCCTTTTGTGGAAGATGTGGCTGGATGGCGATACCTGCATAGAAAATACACTGGAGCACATGCCCTGACAGCAGGGGATCCTCATCCCTGCAGAGCTTCTGTCCACCAGGCTGGGGCTGCTTCTGTGCACCGGGCAGAGGCTGCTCCTAAGGCTTGTGTCTTCCATGTAGCAGAAATGGGAGATTCTGGAGGAGGGGAGCCTGGCTCTGGGGACTGGTGCTCGGGGCACTCGGAATGGACAGTGGTACAGGTTCTGGTCCCTGCTCACACCATCGCTTCTTTACTTTATCTGATTACTGTTCAGCAGAAAATTCAGGTGTGGTCCTGCAGCAGGGACCAGTCCCCCGGGCCCTCTGTGTCCGCCAGGCTGGTGGGGAGCCTGCGAGGGGCTCATCTCCAGAATTAAATGCTGCTAAAAGTGAGTTTCTTCTTACAGGTATCACAAGTAGGCTCCCACAAGGGCTGTGCACTGCAGGAGAGGCAGGGCTGGCTGCCTGGGGAGGCAGAACTTTCTAGAGCATCTGGGGGCTCTACACCTGTGCATAAGACATTTCCAGGTATGCTAACAGGGCCGTGGCAAGCCCTAATCCAAGCACTAGGCAAGAATTAGTGATGGGCTTTGGGGCAGAGGGGTGGGTGTCTCTACTGCCTCAGCATTTCATTATCACTAAGGAGTCAGAATCAAATTCAGCTGTTTAATTGAAAATACCTATATTTTATTTTTATAAATTTATTTATTTAGTATTTGCAGACTACATGTGATACTAAACTACTCAGGTGTTTTTTAGTCTCCCAGTAACTGTCTTTCAGCTCAGACGTATTTTATATGTGCTTAATATGAGAGGCAGACTTTGAGACCAGAACTAGAAGGATGATTGCAGCAGTCTGTTAATCAAAACACAGAAGGGCAAAGCAAACCTTTAAACTCCTCTGCCTGCTGGATAATCCTGTCAGAGACACTGGTACTACTAGACTCTGATTTTGAAATTAATTCTTTCGTGATGGTTTTGCTGGAAGGTCTCAAACCCTCCACGTGCTGATTATATAATACAAAGAATCAGCCACCAGAGCCTTTGAAATAGCTATCACAGCATCATCCTTAAAGTTGCATTATCAATTCGTTACTGAATTCATTACATTTGCTGCATTTATCAGGTGTATATATAGTATGTGCATGAAGGTCAAAGAGCACGATTCCTCCAGGAAATGTCAGTTCAGAATAGGGCCTTATACTTTCAAGAGCTTTATTTGCTCTGTTCACGTATTAGTTTCTAGTCCTGCTTTCTGTTACACCTTCCTTGAGCTCTCCTTGCAGCTGGGGGAACAACCACCCAAGGAAGCTCTGTACTGCTTAGAGCTGCTCATCAGGCTGTTAAGTGATGGAGGGTACTGCAACATCAGCTGATGCCATTAAGTGGTACCTGTACGTACCCAAGGTACACTGAAACCAAGTTCTCGGTGCTAGAGCAAGAGGAAGCCAGCAGCTTTAGTAGGCAGTGA